CTATTGCCTATACTGTTACAAAAGATCAAAAACCTCCATCTAGTTCTGATTTTCGAGGAAATCGATCTCAACATTATAGATGAGGTTCTTCTTCTAGAGGTGGTCGATATTTTTCCAGAGGTGGATCTCATCGATGAGGTAGTGGCAGATCATTTGCTCAGTCTATATTTTCTATTATGTGCCAAATTTGTGGCAAACCAAATCACACGGCGTTGGACTGCTGGTATAGAATGGATTCTTCATCTGCATCTTCCAAACCTACATTTGTTGCTTCCACAGCCTCATCTTCTCCGAATGCTAACTGGTATGTTGACTCTACTGCAACAAATCATGTTACTCCTGATCTTCAACAAATGGAGCACTTTCAACCATATTATGGTTATGATCAGGTAACTATTGGTAATGGTCATAACATTCCAATTTAGCATACCGGCAGAGGTATTCTTCCTACTCTTTCTTTTCCATTTAAATTGAATCATATCCTTCACGTTCCTTCTATTTCTTCAAATCTTCTCAATGTTAATCAATTGACATCAAACAATAATTGTACTATTACTTTTGATGCCAATTCTTTTGTGATTCAGGACAAGAATACCTACACTCCTCTGTATAAAGGGATTCATAAAAATGGCTTGTATCAATTCTCACCATCTCAGCAATCTTCCATCTCTCGTGTCGCTTGTCTTGCAACCTCACCTGTTTCTCCTACTATCTGGCATAATCGGCTAGGACATCCTTCTTCACAGAAGTTGCAAGTTGTTTTCAAACAATTTCATTTACCTATTTCTTCACGGTTTAATAAGCATCTTTGTACACAATGTGCTGTTGCTAAGAGTCATCAACTCCCTTTCACTTTGTCAAATTCAACAGTTAATAAACCATTGTCCCTCATCCATAGTGATGTTTGGGGTCCTTTTACTTCATCCACGTCTTCTTTTAAATAGTATGTGTTGTTTGTGAATGAGTTTAGTAAATTCACTTGGGTGTATCCTATGTGTTACGAAAGTGAAGTATTTTCTAAGTTTCAAGAATTTAAAGTTTTTGTTGAAACTCAATTTGAGACTCGTCTTAAGGTTTTATGAACTGGTGGTGGAGGTGAATTTACTGGTAATCAATTTGAATCTTTTCTTAAACAGAGAGGTATTATCCATTAACTCTCATGTCCTCACACGCCTCCTCAAAATGGGGTTGTCGAGTGAAAACATAGGCACTTAATCACTACTACTATTGCTCTTCTTCATCAATCTGCTCTTCCCTTGTCATTTTGGTTTCATGCATTACCTACCTCTCTTTTTCTTATTAACCAGTTGCCTAGTTCAAAGTTAAATAATAAAACTCTTTTTGAATTACTGTTCCATCAGTTTCCAAATTTTGGGTTTCTCAAGAGTTTTGGATGTCGGTGTTATCCTTGGCTTAAGCCCTATGCTTCTCATAAGTTCCAACCTCGGTCTTTTCCTTGTGTTTTCGTTGGGTATCACCCCTCTATTAAAGGGTACAGATGTCTTGATCCATCAACAGGACAAGTGTTTTTGTCTCGACATGTTGTGTTTGATGAGAGTTTGTTTCCATTGGTTTCACAATCTCCTCTTCCTTTAAACTCTGTTCCCACTCTTCCTCAGCTTTATTCTTTCTTTTGGCCTACATCTGGTCTATCTACCTCTACAGCTTCACCTGCAGTGCCTATCTCTATTTTACCTACCTCTGTTGTCTCTACTGCTGTACCTGTTCCTACCATTTCTCCTATTGTCTCTATTACTGCACTAGTTACTGTTGCTCCTGCTGTCTCTATTACTGCACCAGTTCAATCAGCTTTTCCTGCTGCCTCTGCTGCTGTTCCTGTTCTCGCATCTGTTCAAACAGTTGTTCCTCTTAGCTCTGCTGCCGTGTCCGTCCCTCCTATTCCTATTACTTCCTTAAATGTTGATCTCACATCTTTTGATTTGGCTTCTACTTCACAGCCTCGTATTTCTTTATCTGTCTCTAATCACCATCCAATGCTCACTCACTCTAAAACTTCCACATCCTCTTATGCTCTCATTTCTTCTTCCTTTTCTCCTCATTTGGATCCTACTCTCCATGAACCTCATGACTTTTCTGCTACTCTTACCATTCTTGTTTGGTCTGCTGCTATGCAAGAAGAGTTTCAAGCTTTACAGAAGCAGAAAAACTTGGGTTCTAGTCCCTCTTTCTCCCAATAAGTAAGCCATTGGTTGTAAATGGGTCTTCAAGCTTAAAAGGAATTATGATGGATCTGTTGCTTGTCGTAAAGCTCGGTTAGTTGCCAAGAGCTATCTCCAAGAAGAAGGTATTGACTATCATAAGACATTTAGTCCAGTGGCTAAGCAACCCACTATTTGAGTTTTCCTCAGTCTTGCTCTCCACTTTAATTGGCAAATTAAGCAATTGGATATATCTAATGCCTTTCTCCATGGTGTTCTTGATAAGGAGGTTTTCATGACTCAGCCTCCAGGTTTTGAAAGTCCAGCTCATCCCACTCATGTGTGCAAATTGGTGAAGGCTTTATATGGTCTTAAACAGGCACCAAGAGCCTGGTATTCTACATTCTCCAATTTTCTTCTCTCCTCTGGCTTTGTTAACAGTCAGTGTGACTCATTTCTTTTCATTCATCACTCAGCTTCTTCTATTATTCTCTTATTGGTATATGTGGATGATATTCTTATCGTTGGAAATAATCCTACTCAAATTTCTGCTCTTATTAAGCATATGCACTCTGTTTTTTCCATGAAGGAGTTGGGTCCTATTTCCTATTTTCTTGGGATTTCTGTGGTTCGCACACCTGAGGGTCTCTTCTTTTCTCAACAAAAATATGCTTCTGAGATTCTTGCTAAGTCTGGCATGCTTAATTGTAAATATTATTCCTCCCCTATGTCTACTAAATATTATTCCTCCCCTATGTCTACTAAGCCTCCGTTTGGGAAGTGGGTTGACTTTTTGGCTTTTTTGGCTATTTTAGCCTGGGCTAAAAAGCTTGGTTTGGGAAGGACTTTTTGGTTTTTTGGTTTTTTTGGCTTTTTTTGTGAGAGAAGAGTGTAATGATTATGGGTTGGATGTGATGTTTTATTTTTTGTGGCTAAAATAGCCTATTTTGTCTTTTGTGGCTAAAATAGCCAAAAAAGCCTGGAATAGCTCTTTCCAAACGGACTCTAAGTCTTCTTCTCCTGATGACCAATTGGTTCCATTTTCTCAACCTTCTCTGTATCGTAGTTTGGTGGGTGCTCTCCAATATCTTACTATTACCCGGCCTGATCTTTCGTTTGCTGTGAATCATGCTTGTCAGTTTATGCATGCTCCTACTGTGGCTCACTTTAATGCTGTCAAGCGTTTACTTCGCTATCTTAAAGGCACTTTGCACTATGGTTTGGTTTTCTCTTATGGCCCTTTAGATCTTTATGCTTATTCCGACTCTGACTGGGCTGGTAGTGTCACTGATTGGAAATTTACTACCGGCTATTGTGTATTTTTGGGTAACAATCTTGTGTCTTGGGCTGCTAAAAAGCAAAGCACTGTTTCTCGGTCCTCCAGTGAAGCTAAATACTGGGCATTGGCTCAGGCTACTGCTGAACTCACTTGGCTTACCATGCTGCTGACTGAGTTGCAACTTTCTCCTACGGTGCCCACTTTGTGGTGTGACAATCTGTCTGCTATTAGCCTTGCTTCCAATCCCGTCTTTCATGCTCGTACTAAGCATATAGCTGTTGATTATCATTATATTTGCGAGCAGGTTATGGCTAAGAAAGTTTTTGTCAAGCATGTGGCTTCTACTGACCAGTTAGCTGATATTCTCACCAAGCCTCTCTCGATTGCTCGGTTTTCTTATCTTCAAGACAAGCTCATGGTTCATCCCTCACCCATTTGCTTGCGGGGGCCTGATAAGATAACAGAATGCAGCACAGTTCATGAGGACGAGTCACATACTGGTTTAACTAATGTAAAGAAGTTGTAACTGATTTAATTTAGTTGGAGTATTAGTTAGAGTAGTTAGATATAATAATAGATGTAGACTCATCACTATAAAAAGATGTACTGGGTTCATTTGTATGTAAGTAAGAAATAAATATCTTTTCCATTGTCTTCAATGTGTCTTCATATTGGGCCTAGATGCATGATAATCATGTCATGTGATTAAAACTAATGGTACAATGCAAAACAAGTAGCGAAAGTAGGAAAATAATGATTAAAACTACTTGAAATCATGGAATATGCATGAATATGACTTAACCATTATCAAAACCAAAAATCTTGACTCAAGTATATGAAAATAATAAGAAAATTAGAAACTAACTGATAGTTTTGTACTCAAACCGAAGAATACGAGAGAAACATGAAAACAAGGCCCCTGGGTGATTTCCCCAGGCCTTGAAGCTCTCAAGGCACATTTTGGATGCTCAAATACGTCAAGGAATGTCTCATTTTTTTAGGGTTTTGGGAGAGCTATGAATTTTTGTGTATTGTGGTAGAGGTTTGATGTAAAAAGTTTCCTTTTCACTAAAAGCTAGACAAGGTTTAGTTAAATTGTATGCATTGATTACATATTATTGAATACATTGTAAGGGCATTCTCTTACTAATATGCAAGGTTCTAAATCGCGGTATCGGGTAACGTAACGGTATCAATCGCGGAGTATCGGTATCGGTAGTATCGATCGGGTGTCGCGGCTGTGAAATTTTAAAAATCATTTCACAGGTTTTTCAGCTTTTTCTTTCCCGTACCGGTCCGAACCGGTGAGTATCGGCCCGTTACGGCTTGTGTAACGGTTACAGACCAATACGTACCGAGACTCAGCCGATACTCCTATGATTTTCAATTTCAGCGGTATACCAGCCAACAGCCGTCTTGGTATCCCATTTTTCTGATACGTATCGGCCGATACGTAACGTATCGGCCGGTATTTAGAACTATGCTAATATATCTTCTTCTTTTTTTCTTCTTTAGATTAATAATTAGTATTGTTATACATGTACTTATATTTTGTGTTGCAGTTATTTATCAAGTACTGGTTTGAAGGGAGAAATACCAAAGGAAATTGGAAAACTTACTTCTCTTGATACTTTGTAAGGGTATTTTCTACTGTTTCGCTCAAGTGACTTACTTAATCCGTTCTTTATAATTTGAAGTTTGATTGTGAAATAGATGTAAACATTCTTTTTAAGAGGAAAGTTCAACTCAAAGCTTTTGAGGCTGAAAAATGCTTTTTTTACTTTCTTCTCTGTTCCATGAAAGGATGAAATTGTTGTTTAGGATAATTCATACAAGTCATTAGAGCAATGACATGTGACACCTTCTCGGCACTCAATAAATTTTTCTTACTCTCCCTTGATTTGACTATGTACTATGTCAAATTAATGCATTAATTAATTTCAAAATTTTGGAAGTGCTACAATTCCACAATTCATTTCCATAGTTTTCTTAGTTAATTTTGCGTAGAGCACATGAAATGCAGACAATGTAGTGTTATTAGGAAAATTTAGCATTCTAACATGGTTCTTATTATTATGCATTTTTTTTTTTTATGAAGATTAACTGCTTTTGTAAATTATTACATCAAATTTCAAATGAACTTATGTTCTCAAAAATAGATGATGGGAGAGCGTATGTAGTCTCAAATCTATATTTCTTCATATTCTCTTTGTTAGGTAATTTCACCAATTCCTTAACCTTCATGAAAAAATAATTATTTTTTTAATGAAAAACCTCTCAGCTTGATTGGTTTGATTTTCAAATTATGTTTTCCCTCTTCTTTTTCATCTTTTGCCCAAAGAATCTACAAACTAATTTAGTAAAAAAATTAATCATTTCCATATGACTCTCCCTTATTTTGGGAAGAAAATAATTTCTAAGTTAAAGAAAGTCTTTTTGAATTTATTTTCATAAAACTAGTTACTATTATTGAAAACATATCCTTAAAAGGTTGGAAACATTTTGGAAAAAGTCGATGGAAAAAGCTAACAAAAATAAGACAAAAATAACCTTTAAAAGTTAGTCTATTTTTTGTTTTCAGCATTATTTTTCAAAAATAATTTATTATTTTCAATTTTTAACATCTTCTAGTTTGGACCAACTTATAAAGTATAAACAGATTGACTCAAAGTTCAAAAAAAAAATATTGTTGAAAGCAGAAACAAAGAAGTCAATTTACAAGCTGAGCAATGTATCATTATTTTGTATGAGGATATTAGGGTAATTTGAGATGATCTAAATAAGTGTATTTTTTTAATTTTTATAAAATATGAATTGGATATGAGTTAAGTTTGAAATGATATGATAAAGAAATGATGTGATTTAAATAAGATAATTTGACTTAAATAAAATAATAACTTTTTAATTTTTTAACTTTTTTAAATTATGAAAAACAAAACCTTAGCTTATTATTACCTTTAGACCGGGATGAACTCATCATGCACATTTTTGTATCACTGAAAAGTCTTAACTCCATTGAACGAGAAGACAGTGAAATGCATGACACATACGGCATTTGATGTAACTTTTGATTGACAACAATTCTTTCTCTTCTTTATTTATTTATTTTCTTTTTTGTTTTTTTCTCTTTCAGAAGTGGCAACTCTACTCTATGGAATCATCAATGAAATTTTATTTAATTATTTTTGTTTAATTTTGTTGCCACAGATACTTGGCTAATAACAAGTTTAGTAAGATTCCATCTTCATTACAAAATTTGTCCAAGCTTTCATCTATGTAAGTTGTGTAATCATGTTGAAGCATATTTAATTTCAATTTACGTTTTAAATATATTTTCCCTGCCTAACTAAGATCATCATGATTATCTCATCATCATTGTCAAAATGTGTAAAACCCTAACAATGCTATGGGTAATAAAATGAACATGTTAGGGTAATTTAACATTTATGATGCATGTAAGGTTTTATACACTAACATTGCCTATCTATGATGAACAGTATGCTTGATGATAACTTACTGGGGGGACACATACCAACTTTCTTCGGTCAAATGAAGTCGTTGACCCTTTTGTGAGTTTGCATCATAATTTCTTTTCTTTTTTTCTTTTCTTTTTTCTTTCACATATGTTGTTTTGCATCATTCATTGATTTAATATCAGCACATTAAATTCGAAATGGTCTTGTAAATTAAATGTATAAATTAAATAAACAATAAAATAAAATAATTCAGAAAATAATTATATAAATTATTTTCAAATTAAATGCTTATAGAAATTAATGTCGAGACTTGTGTTGGACATAATCTCCTGAAAGTAGATTTCGCCCTTGTTCCGGTGCTTCGAATTTTACCGGCATGTACTATCCAGGATGCAAGGACTAATACTTGATTTTAGAGCACTATAAAATGAAGTCTGGCAAACCAAAACTTTGCTAAAACTCTCTTTTTCTTTTCTTAAAATTAAATGCAGAAAATAGGAAAACGGAAAGGGGAGAAGAGAGACGAAAATCTGAGGGAAATATGTTTGTTCTGAATTGCTGGAAGGCTAGCTTTTTATAGGAGGAAAGCTAGATGTTCGAACATGTGGAAAACCTGTTCGGATAGATTGAACAGGTACCAATCTGTTTGAACAGATAAACAATTGAATTCAACAAGTGTGAACTTGTTTTTGACCCTTCTGAACCTGTTTGGGTAGTATGAACATGTTAGGGGCCTATTTGGATAAAGAAAAAATTCTGGACCAATTTATTTTGAATTTTGAAACCAAAAATAAAAATAAAAAAATAAATTGCAAAAGTTTTTGGCCCAAAAAGATGAGTATTAGGCCGGACAAGCCCAACCCAACCTTACACTATGCACCCGTGCCCCAGCTCGCCCGACTGACCGGACGGGGGGCGACGGCGGCGCGCACGTGTGGTTTTTGTTTTGGGTCTAAAAGGTCTAGTCCACTTCACCCATAACCTCACCATTCCACAAACTTGGGTACCCCTTGGGGCCCATCCCAAGTATCCCAAGTTAAGGTATATAAACCCATCAAAACCTCAAGCTTTTCCAATGTGGAACAAGCACATTTCGCAAATATGTAGGAAACCTACCAAAAAACTAGTTCCACGAACCCGAAAAATGTGCGTTGAATTCTCATTCATCCGAAAATAGTTTTGAGCAACCAAATACATGAATTTATTCACTACGCGACATTAAACATGAACCCAAATAGAAACGTTAAAAATAACGCTTGGATCCCACCTTAATTAATGCTCAAAGTTAGCAAAAAATAAGGTTATACAAAAGCCATTTTCTAACAATCCCCCACATGAATGAAATTTAGGATGATGAACATGCAACAAGATGCAGACAAAGAAAGAGAACATTAAGAAGATACACCACATCGAGATAGGTAGATTTTGGCTTTGAACCTCCTCTAGTGAAAGCCTATCAGACTTACTAGTTAACCAGTGGATGCGATGCCTTGAACTGTTCAGCTATTTGTGTAAGCCAAGACAATAGACTACACATAGTGTATCCGCAGACACAGTTTGGTTCTTACGGTTGTGTTCATTTTGGCCCTGAACAACGTTTGGTAATTCATGAGTGCTCTAGAGAATTTAGCCTTCTCAATTCTCACAGAGTCGGCCCAGTTCACACTCATATAGGTGACTTCTTATTAAGAGTATCCTGCTATACCCCACTTGGATGTCCAAGCTATAAGAATCATTAAAAGAAAAGCTTATCCTACTAACGCTGCAAGTATCACTCTTCTTATCATAGAAATGGGTAAAAGTAAACCTCATTAGTGATACACTAAGTCATCCATAATTCGGTTGTCCCTTTGAACCTAGGTCTTGATACCCTAGATTTTGAGATCTGCAGTCAACTAGGTTGGGTTGCCATTATGACGACTTTTAAGTAATAGGCTTTAATCCCATTTCCCTTGATAAATGGTACACTTGCTCTCTGGCTAGCCCTTTAGTTAATGGATCCGTAATATTCTCCTTTGACTTTACATATTCTATGGAAATTATTCCATGTGAGAGCAAATGCCTAACGGTATTATGTCTTCGACGAATGTGTCGAGACTTACCGTTATACATACGATTTTGTGCCCGTCCTATTGTTGCATCACTATCACAGTGAATGCATATAGCTGACACAGGTTTAGGCCACATTGGAATGTCTTCTAAGAAATTATGAAGCCATTCTCCTTCTTCTCCTGCTTTATCTAATGCGATAAACTCAGATTCCATTGTCGACCTAGCTATGCATGTCTGCTTGGAAGATTTCCAAGAGACTGCAGCACCTCCAAGGGTAAAGACGTATCCACTAGTGGATTTGGAGTCTTTAGTATCTGATATCCAATTTGCATTGCTATACCCCTCGAGTACTGTTGGATATTTGGTATAATGTAAGCCATAATTCTATATATGTCTTAGATACCTAAGTACCCTAATTATCGCTTTTCAATGATCGGACCCTGGATCACTTGTGTACCTACTCAATTTGCTTACAGCATAGGCTATATCTAGCCTAGTGCAATTTATAAAGTACATCAAGCTTCCGATTATCCGAGAGTACTCTAATTGTGATATGCATGCACCTGTATTTTTTGACAAATGAAAACTAATGTCACCAAGTGTTTTAGCAGGACGGTCGTCATGCTTTTCAAATTTCTCTAGAATCTTCTCAACATAGTGAGACTTAGATAACGCATATCCTTCAGATGTTCTAATAATTTTTATTTCTAGAATTACATATGCTACTCCCAGATCTTTCATGTCAAACTTTTCGTTCAACATTTTCTTTGTGGATTTAATTATGTCATTATTGCTTCCAATAATGAGCATGTCATCCATATAAAGACAAACTGTGACATAGCCTTTGTCTGTGCTTTTAACATAGACGCATTTGTTACATTCGTTTATCTTAAAACCATCCGAAAGCATAGCGTGATCAAATTTTTCATGCCATTGTTTCGGAGCTTGTTTTAATCCATAAAGAGATTTGACAAATTTACAAACCTTTTTCTCTTGGTCGGAACTTGAAACCCTTCTAGTTGTTTCATATAAATTTTCTCATCTAACTCGCCATTCAAAAAAGATGTTTTAACTTCCATTTGATGCATTTCCAGATTACACAAAGCTGCAATCGCAATCAACAAGCGAATAGATGTTATTCTTGTCACTGGTGAATAAGTGTCAAAATAACCAAGGCCTTCCTTCTGCCTGTATCTCTTAGCAACAAGCCTAGCCTTGTATTTATCAATTAAACCATCTGCTTTCATTTTTCTCTTGAATATCCACTTATATCCAAGACGTTTACACCCTGGTGGAAGATCTACCAGTTCCTAAGTATGATTTTGCAGTATTGATTCAATTTCACTATTTACAGCCTCTCTCCACAACGGAACTTCAGGACTTGACATTGCTTCTTTGAAGTTTTGAGGCTCATTTTCTAATAAGTATGTTAGAAAATCTAGACCAAATGATTTAGAGATCCTAGCCCTTTTGCTACGTCTAGGTTCATTTGATTCATTATCATTGTGGTCTTCACTGCTACCCATAGAAGTATCAAAAGTTCTTTTATTTGAAATTTTCTCTTTAGTTTCCTTGTAAGGAAAAATGTGTTCAAAAAACGACACATTCCTTGACTCAATAATAATGTTTACAGGCATATCCGGATTTTTAGATCTATGAACTAAAAATCTATATGCACTACTATTATTTGCATAACCAATAAACACAAAATCAACGGTCTTTGGTCCTATCTTAGTCGTTTTGGGACTAGGGATTGCCACCTTGGCCAAACACCCCCATAGTTTGAGGTAATTGTAGGTAGGTCGTCAACCTTTCCATAATTCATAAGGTGTTTGATTGAGTTTCTTGTGGGGTACCCTGTTAAGGATAAAGTTAGCAGACAAAATAGCCTCCCCCCACAAGTTCTGAAGTAATCCTGAACTAATCAACATGACATTCATCATCTCTTTAAGAGTTCGATTCTTTCTCTCAGCAACTCTATTTGATTGAAGAGAATAGGGTGCAGTGGTTTGGTGAATGATACCATGTTCAAAACAAAATTCTTCAAATGGTGCATCATACTCACCACCTTTGTCACTTCTCACCATCTTTATAGTTTTGCCAAGTTGATTTTCAATCTCAAGTTTATATTGCCTAAAAGCTTCTAAGACTTCATCTTTACTTCTCAATAAGTAAACATAGCAATATCAAGTGCAATCATCAATAAAAGTAATAAAGTACTTCTTACCTCCTCTAGTTTGAACAAATTTTAAATCACAGATATTTGAGTGAATTAAATTTAGAGGTTCAGTACTTCTTTCAACTTTACTAAATGATACCTCAGTGAGTTTTCCCTCAACACAAATCTCACATTTATGATTAGGATTAAATTCTATGTTTGGTAAGCATTCTAAAGCAACAAGTCTACGCAAAGAATTAAAATTAACATGTCCTAATCAACCATGCCATAAAAAAAAAAAAAAGACTCAGTAATATAAACAGAAGATGTGTTATTATTATTAAAAGCCAAATTAGGTACAACAATTATTATATTGAGCTTAAAAAGCCCATCACTCATGTAACATCGCCCCACATACATTCCACTCTTAGAGAGTACAACTTTATTAGATTCAAAGACTAATTTAAACCAATTCTTGATCAACAATGACCCAAAAATCAAATTCTTGCGAATTTCTGGCACATGGAGTACGTTGTTAAGAGTGAGTTCTTTCCCTGAGGTCATTTTCAGCACAATCTTTCCTTATCCTTCTACAATTGATGTAGATGAGTTTCTCATAAAAAGCTGTTCTCCACTTTCCACCACTTTGTAGGTTGTGAACATCTTCTTATTTGCACAGATATGGCAGGTTGCTCTAGTATCCACCCACCATTCCTTGGGATTGCCGACCAAATTTACTTCAGAGACTACTGCAGCAAGATTGATGTCTGCCACTCCATCAAAAAGATAAAAATCCTCGACTATGTTGGCTTGTGTTGACTTTTTGCTCGAATTTCCTTTGTTCTTGCGAGCGTGACAATCCTTAGCACGATGTCCATCTTTGCCGCACACAAAACACTTGCCTTTGAATCTCTTGTTGAACCCGTTGTTGATCCCTTTGTTGATCTTACTAGTGGATCCTTGTTTGGCACCATTGCCATCATGCTTCCGCTTCTTGTTATTGAACTTTGACCCTTGTCCATGTTCCACAACATTTGCTTTAGCTTGCATGACATGGTTCCCTGACTTCTTGTCGAAACCACCGTTGTCTTCCTCAATTCGAAGCCGCACTATCAATTTCTCCAATTTCATCTCCTTGCGCTTATGCTTTAGATAATTTTTAAATTCTTTCCAGGATGGTGGCAATTTTTCAATGATCGCCGCAACCTATAAAGATTGAGAACCATCTCTTCCGCATGTATGTCATGGAGAGCTAATTGGAGATCTTAAACCTGGCTAATAACCATCTTGGAATCCATCACTTTAAAATCCAAAAAACGGCTAACAACAAATTTCTTTGTACCGGCGTCCTCTGTCTTATACTTATGATCTAGAGATTTCCACAGTTCTTTAGCAGTGCTTTTAACACTATACACATTAGACAGTGCATTATCCAACCTATTGATGATATAATGCCGACATAGAAAATCACCATGTTTCCATGCATCGACTGCAACAACCACTTGCCGATCAATTTCTCCCTCGTTTAGTGTCGGTGCCTTTTCATGAGTGAAGCGAGCCAAATTCAATGTCGTAAGATAAAATATCATTTTTTGTTGCCATCTTTTAAAATAATTGCTATTGAATTTTCCTGGCTTCTCCTTATGATTTACCGGTACTGCTGGAGTGATCACTGGCACAACAGGTGTAGGGTTCGGAGTAATAACAGTCTCAGTACTGTTTATTTCTGTTGTCAAAATTCTGACGAAATAAAAATAATACACCAATCACAAATTTATACAAAAAAGAATTTACACACAAAATAAACAGAATAATATTTTGTAACAAAATTTCAATGATAAACAGTATATTACTACTATGTTATCAAAGAAATCATTAAACAGTATATTATTACTATTTAAGAAATTAAACAGTATATTACTACTATTTAATTTTCTAAAACAAAATATTTGTCTGTCTATCGCAGAAATAAATAAAAATAAAAAATCTACTTTAAAGTTGTTGTACCCACAAAGGTGTGTGTGTGTGAGTAAATTAAATAAAAAATAAAATAAAATAATTCAAAAAATAATTATATAAATTATTTTCCGAATTAAATGCTTACAGAAATTAATGTCGAGACTTGTGTTGGACACAATCTCCTTATAGTAGATTTTGCCCTCACTCTGGTGCTTCCAGTTTTACTGGTGTCTACTTCTTAGGATGCAACGACTAATACTTGATTTTAGAGCGCTATAAAATCAAGTCTAGCGAATCAAAACTTTGCTGAAACTCTCTGTTCTTTTCCTAAAATTAAATGCAGAAAGTAGGAAGACGGAAATGGGAGAAGAGAGACAAAAATTTGAGAGAAAAATGTTTGTTCTGAATTGTTGGTTTTTTATAGGAGGAAAAGTGGTTGTTCGAACAGATAAACAGTTGAATTCAACAAGTGTGAACCTGTTCGGGTGAAGAAAGTATTGGGTTGGAGACAAGTCCAACCCAAACCTCACACATCCCATTCCACCTGACCGGATGGACGGACGGACGGCGGCGGCGTATGTGTGGTTTTTGTTTTGAGTCCAAAGGGTCTAACCCACTTCGCCCATAACCTCACCGTTATACAAACTTGGGTACCCTTTGGGGCTCATCCTAAGTATCCCAAGCTAAGGTATATAAACCCATTCAAAACCTCAAGCCTTTCCAATGTGTGATAAGAACATTTCACAAATATGTAGAAAACTAAACAAAAAACTAGTTTTACGAATCCGAAAACGCGAATTGAATGCTCACTCATTCGGAAATAGTTTTGTGTAATCAAATACATGAATTTATTCACTACGCGACATTAAATATGAATCTAATTAAAAACATTAAAAATAACGCTTGAGTCCCACTTAAATTAATATTCAAATTTAGCAAAAAAATAAAATTATATAAAAGTCATTTTTCAACACTAATAGTGTTAATAATTTAAAAATAAAACTTTAGGAGAAAAAAACATTGAAGTACAGAATTTACAAGCATTTTTTGCGGAGGCCTTGCTAGGCTAAGTCTAAAGTAAATATTTTTGATCCATGTTGTCCTAGTTTTGAACACTTACGCTTTGTTTTCCCATCAAAAACAAAAAAAGAAAAAAAGGGCAAGTTTGGTTGTCCAGTGGGTGTGCGCATGGTTGACACGCGTGTCAGCCTTGTACACGTGTCCCTCTTTTTTTTGTTTTTTCATATTTTTATTTTTGAAATATTATAATTTCTATTTTTCATATTCATTTTTTTAAAGATCTATGAATAATATAAATATTGGCGTTCATAGAAAAAATAAGATTGATATTAAATATAAAGTTATAAGAATAAAAAAGTAAATTTTTGGTGAAATAATTATATGTAGTATTGAAAATTACTAAGAAATGTTATTTACGCAAATTGAGAAATTTTTTAGCTCTTACTTCTAAAATTAAGAATGTCTCAGCTTTGTACAAATTGAAACTTTTTTCTCTTCTATTCAATTTTTTTTTGAAATGTTTTAGTTTGTACCCATGCGTTAAAAAAAAAAAAAAATAGACACGAGATGAGACATATAGAGAAAAAGTCAAGAAACTTGTAATTTTTATTTTAACAAAATTGAAAAAAAATTGAATTTCATTCAATCACAATAGGTTATAATCATTATTACTTTTGGACGTTCCCAAATACCATAATAGTATATAAACAACTTTTATTTGATAATTTGTTAGCTTGCAACTATAATAATAACTTATAATCAACTTCCATAATAATTCTAAATAATACTAACTTCAATAATAATTTGTTAGTGCAGAATGCAAAGCTTCAGAAGTTTTGCAGACGCACATGCTCGTTTGAGTGCAAGAAGCCTCGCTCGAGCGAAGAACTTCACCTTTCCAGAAATTCAGCGTCTGGGAAAGAAACCTGAGGACTCTCAAATCTCACTCGAGCGCAAGAAGTCTCGTTCGAGCGAAGAAGCCAAAATTTTGGTAACAACAATCTAAACCAACTATCAACCA